ATCCGCCATTGTTTTGAGTTACATTTTTTTAAAACTGAATTACTACCTATTCTCATAAAAGGGCCGATTTTCTAGTACCGCCACTCGAGAGCAACGACAATTGAACTTGTTTTCATGGCTAACTAAGTGAAATTGTTTAAAAATGATAAGAATTGGCTATAACTCAGTAATTTTTCGAAGAAAACATATTATAGCTTATATCGCTAAAAAGATTAAAAAATGGCGCTTTTTATGAAATCGTGGCCGACTATGATTTCCATTTAAAAAAACATATGTTTGTATCATATGTCAAAAATGACAGGCATTAGAAGAAAACGGAGGGCACAGTCTTATTAAGGATGTGATTATCTACAACTTTTATCTGAAAACTTTTTGTCTAAAATAGCTTATAATGGAATTAGGGACAATTTTTAAAATACCCGAAATTTGTTTTTTTCGAAATATCTAGTAAGCCATGAACTTTTTCAAAAATCTGAAAGGCGCATATGACCCCACAAAACTGCAATTCTTTCTCCATTTAACCGACTCTCTTTCTCTAGTAGTTTCCGAGATACCCATAGAGAACATCGTAGGAAACTCACCCTTATGTAAAAATCAGACATGTAAAAATAAGTAAAGTTCATATATTTCTTGTGGAACTTTAAAGCGTCTGATAAAAGTTTTGATTCATGGAAAGTGTCGGATACTTTTGATACTACTTCAGAGCAATATTCTGCAATATATACAGGGTGGCCCATCAAAAGCGTTCCGCAAGGCATAACGGCCAGGATATTTTTTTTTTCAAAAAATCCACAAACACGTCAATTTTGTTTGTGAGGGGGACAACTTTTGCCCCAAAAATGATTGCAAAATCTTCAACCCTCTAAGCGGGGGTGTCATCCCCCACCTTTTTTCAAATGGGAAGGGGGGTCAAGGGGTACCGCAATGAAAAGGGCTTTTTATTCTTTATTCTTTCCCGCTTCGTTTTTGAAAATCGGTCGAGTCATTGAGAAAATATGAAGGATTAAAATTTGAAAAGTTTATTGAAACATTTATCAGAGTAAATGATAAGGATAAATTCCTTCGGCCAATTTGCTGTTTTTTCTTATTATTTCTAGATGTTTACGCATTTTTTCACTTGCCACAAGGTTGAACGATCAGGTGCGGCAGTTGCTAGATAGCTGTTCTGTGACTTGTGCGTTGAAGTTCTTCTCAATATCGTTAAACTGACCCAAAATAGAATTTCCAAAAATACCAGCCCACACGTTCAATTTCTGAGGGTTTTGTGTGTGCACCCTCGGCACCTCGGCTTTTTCACGGCACCCGTGAAAAGCCCTCAGCCCAGTACCGACAGTTATGCTGATTAACTACACCGTTCAAAAAGAAAGTACACTCATCCGAAAACACACATTAAATAGGAAATTATTATCATTCGCCACTCGTTCACTCACAGTTTCACAAAATTGCAAGCGACGATCAAAATCGTCTTCGTTGAGTTCTTGTACCAACTGAATTTTGGACGGGTGGAACATGTGTTTTTTTAATATCCTTTGGACACTGGTACGATTCACGCCGGCTAATTTTGCATTGGCTAATTTTCTTGTACTCAGCGTACTATCCATGGCAACTTGACCCAATACGAATACCTCCATAGTTCATTTACTACAGGGTTTTCCCTCTGGCTCTTTTTTATTCATAACGGAACCAGTTTCGCGAAATTTTGCTACTAACTCGCGATCAATTTTGCCATAAAGGTGTTTTTCAGGATGGCATTCATTCAATATCTGCGGAACACGATTGCTACATTCATTATTTTTAAAATAAAGTTCGATTATTTCCACTTTTTCTGCAAGTGAGTACACCATAATTGTTAAAAAGTTTAACGATATTGAGAAGAACTTCAACGCACAAGTCACAGAACAGCTATCTAGCAACTGCCGCACCTGATCGTTCAACCTTGTGGCAAGTGAAAAAATGCGTAAACATCTAGAAATAATAAGAAAAAACAGCCAATTGGCCGAAGGAATTTATCCTTATCATTTACTCTGATAAATGTTTAAATAAACTTTTCAAATTTCAATTCTTCATATTTTCTCAATGACTCGACCGATTTTCAAAAACGAAGCGGGAAAGTATAGAGAATAAAAAGCCCTTTTCATTGCGGTACCACTTGATCCCCCTTCCCATTTGAAAAAAGTTGGGGGATGACACTCCCGCTTAGAGGGTTGAAGATTTTGCAATCATTTTTGGAACAAAAGTTGTCCCCCTCACAAACAAAATTGACGTGTTTTTGAATTTTCCGAAAAAAAAAATTACCCTGGCCGTTATGCCTTGAGGAACGTTTTCGATGGGCCACCCTGTATACAAAAATCAGCGATACAAATTTAAGTTAAGTAACTCTTATTTTTAGTTACCCTTCTCACCTGGTATCTGCCAAGGTGTCACAGGGCGAACCTCACAAACACGCCGGTATTCAAAGCACATGAGAGCACTACTGAGAACCTAAGGTTTCATCCTTGTGAAAATAAGTTATGTCTGTTTGCTCTGTGAGAGAGATTTTACTCTATAAATATTATAACAAAAAACTCTCGTAATATTTCGATATTAGCATAGACTTAAAATAAAATATAGACTACACTATTTACGTCTCAACGCGGTCAAACAATCTTTTTTGTACACATGTTTACTTCTGGGTACAGTCGACCGAGCCTTCCTCATCCAGCGTATGTTGTCACGTCTTTAATATTATCAATATTTTTTTTCTTGTTATGCACATATATTGAGATATTAATACTACAGTTTAATAAAGTAGGTTTTAATATTCCATAGATGTATTAAATAGTCCTTATACTACTAAATTATAAGTCGGATACTGTTTAAAAAGGATAAGTTCTTTACAATATGACAACACCGATTAGAGGCTAGGGAGCCTATTCATTCGTTTATTACCTTGTAGTACGCGTCGCACGTGTGCGGTAAAGCTTTGTTGCCGCTATGTCCCCGGCTGTATTAACGCATTTTCTTAGCTTGTAGTCCTTAAGTGTTTATTTTATTGACTTTTTCTGTTCAAGAACTATAAAATATGGTTCGCCAGTGCGAAGTTTGCAAGAAATTTGACTTAAATAATCCATTTAAGTCTTGAAACGACTTTCGACCGGTAGGCAACTCAATTTACCCATTGGGAGTCAGTGGCGTTGTTGTAGAAAGGCCCTTATTTAGACAATATTTTAGTTAGATGTAAAATCGAAATTTTTTCTCTTACATTACATTATTTACTTACTTACATTGTAACAAAATCATAATTATAACACTGTTAATAATTAATAATGTTTTTATTAAAAATATATTCCGGTTTATTCTAAAATTATCTTCAGAATATAAAATAACATACAAGAATTTTAAAATGATATTACATTATGAAACAATATTTTTTAATATACCGGATCGCCTCAAAAGTGGCTCACCCCTATAACTTTTTTATTTTTTCAAATAAAAAAAACAGATTTGTATGTTAGTAGGTATATGACATAAATTAGGATTTATTGACGTATTCAATTGTTTTTGGTCTCTTCCTGTTTCACCGAAATGATTACATCTTTTGATTTTTAAAGGCACCCTCGGTATATTGCTACTTTATTCGATAAAAAATGACACTCTGAATAGAATGACATATCATATGTCAACTTTTTGACATTGTCGCTTAAAAACAAATCGTATTTTTAAATTTCAACCAGGTTGCCATGGTGTTGTTAAAAACACTAAGTTTTAATCAAGGAGCCTTGGAAAAATAGTTTTGATCGTCTAATAGGTTTCGTGTCTTGTCTAGGCCGGTTAAAAGATGTACAAATCGTATTTTAATCATACATATGTCAATTTTTTCAAATGGAACAAGGGACTGACTTATTAGCATATTTGGAAAAAGCATTTTTTATGAATATATTGATACCACACTCTTGGTATTTCGAGTAACATTGTCGTTATGAACCGCGTGTTACAATTACAATTAAACCATATGCGAAAATGTCAAAAGTTGACATATGATATGTCATTCTATTCAGAGTGTCATTTTCTATCGAATAAAGTAGAAATATACCGAGGGTGCCGTTTAAAAATTAAAAGTTATAGTCATTTCCGGTGAAACAGGAAGTGACCAAAAACAATTGAATGCGTCAATCAATCCTAATTTATGTCATATACTAACATACTAAATCTTGTTTTTTTATTTGAAAATATAAAAAAATTATGGGGGATGAGCCACTTTTGGGACGCATCCGGTATAATAAAGACAGTACCGAGTTAAATAAATGTAGTTTTCATTTTATCCACTTCCTATCACCTTCCTTGCTTTAATGGAACAGATTTATGTTTTCTCTAATTTACATAATAAGACATCACTTAATTAGACAAAAAATTACAACAATCATATTTTTTTTTCTCTCCCTGTCGCTGATTCTATTATATCTGTGGAATAGATCCTGTTTTGATTAATATTGGGGGTTGTAAATGTTAGACCAAAATTAATAATTTATTATCAATTTCAAAAATTACGTAATTTCGATTATAAAATTTCTTCTATAATGTGTATTTTATTATTTTTATCCTTTTGGACTCTAAGACGTTTTTTCTAAACTTTTATTTAGAAAACCTATCCTAAATCTTAATAAAATATAAAAAAGTTTAAATATGATATATTTTTAATTTAATTTAGCCCCATTAAAATAAAAAAATTACCCGACTATGATACGGAGAGTTCAGGTGTACTTGAGAAACGAAAGACAGTGTTGTGTTTCTCGGCAGAGTCGTCAGGGAACGACCGTTACGACAGAGACAACCTATCTATCGCTCGTGTCGCACTCGTTATAACCTAAAACAATAACACAACAATAACAAGACATTGTCTGACCGCATGTTCCAGCTATTTATGAATGAGATGCTCAGTCTATATTTTATTTTAAGTCTATGGATATTAGACATTTCTAAATGTTAATTAATGTTACGTAATTAATTCTATAATTGTTTAGGTATCAAGTGGGATTATTGAGCAAAAGAATTCGACCTTTAAGGATAATAAATATGCTAACATTATCTGAAGTTACCATCAACGTATGTTGCGAAGACACACTCTATCGCATAGTGCAACGCTACCAGGCGTTTAACAGCGATGCCGATAGTTACACTTGGAGGTTAGTTATTTACATTATTATATTAAATTTGTATAGATATATAGCGAAATGTATTTTAACTGCATAATTTAGGGTGCACGAAAAAAAAATTTTTTTATTTTTAATTACCGTGAAAATATCGTTCACGAATATATTCCCCAGAAATAATAATAAATTAATAAAAGATTAATAAGAATTAAATAATAAATTATTTTCTATTCGAAATATACCATCTCTAAAAATATTTGCACTTTAAGACTCACCCTGTATAATATAACAACAGAAAAAAAAATAACAGAAAATTGATTTGTCTTATCATTGGAAACATTAAAATAATATTATTATACAGGGTGGTCCGAACTGTATTCCGGAAACTTCGGCAACATACTAAGTAAGAAGTTCGTATAAATGTATATCCTAAAATGGTTAGTTTCGGAGATACAGGGTGTAGCAGTTTCATTTTTATTTCGATTTTTTCCAAATAATTTCTGAAGTAACGTCAATATTTAGGTCAAAGTTGTTGTCTGGGAGTTTTTTGACATGATAAATTTAATTTAGATGTCAATATGGCTCCTACTTGTACAGGGCGCCACCTACGTGTTTTTAACTGCTTTGATGAGTAATAACTTTTCTTTCGTACCTGTATAAAACTACTGAGTAAAAAAAATATACATTGTCGCCGTTTTTTACGTAAAAAAGGTCTCTTGGTAAAAATCGCTACGAGCAAGGGTTTGCGAGATAATTGAAACCGAAATTATCAATACCCTGTCATCATAAACATGAATTAAACATGTTGACTGAATAGTTATTAGACTGAAATGATAAATTTGAAATGTTTTTGTGCCAAAAGTTCAACAGAAACTGTTTCATCGTCATTTTTTCGAAGAAAAATTTCTGATTATTATCATTTCAGTCAAATAACTATCTACTCAACATATTTATTTTATCAATAATGACATGTATTGACTATTTCCTTTTTAAATATTTTGGGAACGGTTGATCGTGGCGATTTTTACCAAGAAACATTTTTTACGTAAAAAAATCACTAACATGTATATTTTTTCGTCCAGTAGTTTTATACAGGTACGGACGAAAAGTTATTACTCCTCAAAACAGTTAAAACACATGTAGGTGGCGCTCCCTATAACTAGGAGAAAGACTAGGAGTCATTTTGACATCAAAATAAAATTTCTCATATCAAAAAACTCCTAGGCACAATTTTTGATCAAATATTGGCGTTACTTGAAAAATTATTTGGAAAAAATCGAAATAAAAATGAAACTTCTACACCCTGTATCTCCTAAACTAAGCATTGTAAGACATACATATATACGAACTGTTTTACTTATTTTTATTTGCAGAATATGCTGCCGAAGTTTCCGGAATACAGTTCGGACCACCCTGTATATTCGGTTATAGTAAATATCGTTTCAAATAAGCTTATGCATTAATTTTCAATTAAATTCTTTGTTAATTTTCAGATATTTAGATAATAATTTGAACATGAATCAAACACTAGAAGAAAATGGCATATTGGATGAAAGAGACAAATTTACTGAATTAGGTCTTCCCCAGAACTTTTACGTGCCGAGTATTTTTCTATATTATAACGATGATTTAAAGTGGGCTGAAGAAGATGACGATGATTGATCTGACAGATTTTTATACATTTACATACTCTGTATAATCTCTATTTTAAAATATACATTTTTCTGTAAATTATTTGTTAATTTATTCTTAACAGATTTCTTTATTTTGAATAATATCAAAGAATATTTTAAAAATTATAATAATCTTTGATAATTATCAAGTACAGTAACTGATATTTTAGAAACAATATGTCTATACAGGGTGGCGCCTCTCATATGCTGCGGAAGCTCCAAGGAGAACGACAGTTTGTATTGCAATGAAATTTTGTGAGCACATGTAGCTTAATTCAGAGCACTTTTTAAAAATATAGAGAGTTCTACAGGGTGTCTCCAAAAAAAGTTACATATCAAAATTGTGTTTTTTTAAGGGAACACCCTATATATTAAGTGATTTTCGGATTCTGGGAGAAAAAATAAAGGTGAGTTTTAAAAGAGAAGTATATGACTAAAATGTAAGGTTTTTGACATATTTAAAACATTTTCTAGAAATAAAGAACAATTTTACAATAAATTTTACAAATTACAATAAAAGCTACCTAAATTGGAATTTACCCGGTATAGCAAACTAAAACACTAAATCACCACAATACACCAAAACATTTTTACTTTTACACTGGATGCGCGTTTCGCCAAACCAAACCAATGTATAAGTAAAAGTGTTTAGGTGTATTGTGGTGATTTAGTGTTTTATTTTGCTGTGTAACACCAAAGGTTCTAACCCCTCAACTGTAATTACCCGATATAGCCTAATATGTACAGGGTGGGTCAAATTCGACGCTTTTAAATGGAAACACCCTTTTCTATACGAGATAGACGAAAACTAATATCGGTGTCTGGAGCTCAATTTTCATCAAAAACATGATGGTGAAAACCGCATATCAATATCTGTTACTGTTTCGGAGTTACGGGGTGTTTTTCAAAAATGTGCATTTTTAACAAATTGCTAAAACTTTTTTGCTATGGAAAATTTTGTATTTCTATGAAAACTTTTCCAAAGCACCTTTTTACGTAGAATTTAATGGTTTAAGTATATTTTATTTAAAATTAATAGTTTAAGAGTTATCAACATAAAAATTGATTTTTTATTTGGGACACCCTCTATATTTCTAATTAACTGAAAAGAATTTAAAATTACCTTTCCAAAAATATAGCACACTGGATATTTTGTTATAATCCCCTTCGAAATACAGAATTTTTAAAAGTTCGCCACTTTTAACTGGTAGTCTTTGGACCACTTATTGATGATATGCCCCTAATGGAACTCGAAAACATATTTTTCCAGCAAGACGACGCGACGCATCGCCTCTGAACGCTGAAGTTATCAGCAAATTTTTGCAGACAATTTCAAGAATAATTGAATAGCTAACCAAGATCCCAGCCGTTGGCCGTCGAGGCAGCCTGACTTAGTGCCCATGGATCTAATCCTATGGATATATTTGCGGAAGAATAAAGGTTTCTTATTATTCTGTATAATCTAGACAAGAATTAGAAAAACTTAGCAGTTATGAGAGGGTATCTTTCATCCCTACTGAGTTAATGAATTCCCCGAGAAATGTTCAAAAACTGCCCCGTCTGTCCATAACGTAAGACGGTCGATATGTCTAACACCTGTAGCAAAATCTCATGTCTTGGTTTGCTATTTATTTTTATTGTTATTAGATATAGTTTAAATGTGTTGATGTTGGTTAAATATACATATTTTAAATTGTTATAAAATTCTGCATCTCTCATAGCAAATATTATTTTCGTTTTAATTGATGCTCACAACTAGAATTTTTTGGCATTACAGCCGGTGCCGTTCAAAGCCTACTTATTTAAAGCGGTCGAATTTTTATATACTCTATATCTCGAAGAGGAATCGAGCAAAATATCAAGTGTGTTATATTTTTGGAAAGGTAATTTTAAATTCTTTTCAATAAATTATAAATATACAGGATGTCCCATATAAAAAATCAAATTTTCTGTTGATAATTCTTATATTATTAATTTTAAAAAAATTATACTTAAACCATTAAATCCTACGTAAAAAGGTGCTTTGGGAATGTTTTCATAAAAATACAAAATTTTCCATAGCAAAAAAGTTACAGCGATTTGTTAAAAATGCATATTTTTGAAAAACACCCCGTAACTCCGAAACGGTAACAGATATCGATATGCGGTTTTCACTATCATGTTTTAGACAAAAATTGAGCCCCAGACACCAACATTTGTTTTTGTCTATCTCCTATAGAAAAGGGTGTTCCCATTTAAAAGCGTCGAATTTGGCCCACCCTGTACTTAAATTAACTACTGTACTTTAAATCAAATTAAAACTTCCATCCAGATCCAAAAAGTTATACAGGGTGACACAAAATTAATATTGAATATTGGTCGCCTTTAAAAGCATGTTACTATTTTATTTTAAATGGAACACCCAGTATATTATTCCGATATTCGATAGAGAATACATGTCTCTTCAAAATAATATTAAGGTTGCCTACCTCTCAAACAAAATTTTTTTTAGATATTTTCATTTACATGATCTGATCTGGGTAGATCTTTATTATTTGATAAAATCTAGGGTGACTGTGATATTTCTGACGTTACTTCAACATAGCTGTGTAATTAGTCCAACTTTAACAACTAGTTATCATTTTGTGTCAGTTGAAACAAAAAAAATTCTCAGAAATTTGCCGAAAATGCAAACTTATTCTACATCAGAGAGAATTAATTGATATGATTCTATTAGTTGGTGGATGCAGTGTGCATTCACCAATTAATAGAATACTTAAATGCTCCTGATTTTATCTAGTCTGGGTTTTTTATGGGGATATGTTAAAAACAGTGTTTAAAAAACTCGACCAACTATTGTCGAGAGAAATTATTATTGTAGCTGATTTTCGAGGTAGAACTCCACGTAATGCGTTTTAAAATGAAAAGATTTTTTTGAAAAGTCAATCATTTTATGCAGTTAACAGTATTTTGAACATTTGATTTCATCTAGCTAATTTTTGTCACATAATTATAGGTTTATATCTAGTTTTAATTGTGTAATAATTAAAATATGTTTTAAACGTGTACCTTTTTATTATCGTTGAGTATTTTACTCTACAATCTTTAATTTTTGTTAAATTAACAAAAGGTATATCACAGCCACCCTAAATTTTTTCAAATAATAAAGATCTACTGACGCAAAATCACAAAAATTAAAATAACTAGGAAAATTTTTGTCTGAGAGCTAGGCAACCTTAATAATATTTTGGAGATATATAAATTCCCCATTGAACACCGGAATAATATACTGGGTGTTCCATTTAAAATAAAGGAGTAACTTGCTTTTAAATGTGACTAATGTTCCATATTAATTTTTTCTCACCTTGTATATAACTTTTCGGGTCAAATTACAGTTTGGTTTAACATACAATGGTTACTGTAATTAAAAATCAGGCTATACAAGGTCAACCAAAATTTAGGTAGCTGTTATCGAAATTTAAAATTTACACTTCATTTTCACAAAATGTGAAATATGTCAAAATCCTTAGATTTTCGGTATATGCTTCTTTAATAAAACTCATCTTTATTTTTTTCCTTGAATCCGAAAATCAATTAATATATATAGGGTGTTCCATTAGAAAAAACACAACTTTGAGGTGTAACTTTTTTGAGGACACCCTGTATAATTCTAGGTATTTTTATAAAATTAATATAATAATAGCTCCCGTATATAGCGTTTTAACGCCTTGGGAGTAGCAAGGTACAGCTTGCTATACTAGAGCCCGTTCGGTATACAAGGTTATAAAATAAATTAAAAATTATTAAAATATAATTATAAAATTAATGCTTTCAGTTAACCTACATATGCTGCCAAAATTTCATTTCGATATAAACTACCGTTCTCCTTTGAGCTTCCGCGGCGTATGAGAGGCGCCACCCTGTATGTGTAATTAAAATTAATAGTAATCATCTATCAAAGAATGAAAACGAAATTATAATAATCAAAGGTTTAACTTAAAATAACCATACCATTAAAAAAATGTTATGGTTTATTCACACCTATCGCAAATGTAGCGTGTACCATTTTACTAAAGAGACAACTTTTTTCTCATTTATTTATATTACTGCAGTATTATTAATAAATAGTATATTATTAATAATAGTAAATAGTAATAAATAGTAAAAAAAATAGTAAAAAAAATTGGCGCCGGGAGGCACGTATAGCCGCCCATACTAAAATATGTCAATATCTCGAAAACTTCGACTTTGACTGAGTTTGATGTTATTACAAATTTTGTTGCAAATATTATTCCTAATCTTAATTTGAAAACCGCATTTCGCTAGCTACTGTAATTTTGGAGTTACGATTTTTTAAAATTTTTAACCCCCTCCTATACCCCTTACCAACCCCCCACTCCCACCAAAAACTAATGGCCAGATTCTCGGGTGCCACAGTATTTTTGTGCCAAATTTGGTTAAAATCGGTTCAGCGGTTTTTGAGTTATCGTGTTACAGATGGCAGACAGACAGATAGACAGGCAGACAGACAGACAGACACCACGAAAATATTTTCTATTTAGGTCATTTATGACCCAAATAACTCATTTTGAGTGAAATTAAAAAAACTTTTTTTTTGTCGATCCTAATAGCCTACCATACCTATTGGTATGGTCGGCTCAATGCCGTCTCTAATAGAACAGTCTTGGGGCGAGATTTATGACGTCACGCTAGTTAGATACTACGGATTAATAAATATGTTGTAGAATACATGGAAAACATAATTATTCCTCAGATTTTTGGTTTGTATTTTAAAAATTATAGAGTTTACATGAAATATGCATAATATACAGTTAATAACTACAACATATACACCTATTTATAGTAATAAATTCTTTGGCAAATAAACTATGAACCATACAAATGCAGCAAATGTTTTATAATATACAAATAATGTATTACATAAGATATTGGGTAAAATGTAAATATATTTTAAATTTTGGGGTTTAAAAATCGATCTAATTTAACAAAAAACATTCAATATCTACTAATAGTGATGTATTATTATTTGCATTTAATTAACAAAA